TCAGGAGAAACAATTTTTTCAAAACACTCTATTTCGGTAGAAAATGTCCCCAAAATTATCGTCTTTCTATAGTTTTGATTTATTTTTGAAAAATCTGCCTCCCCGAAAACAGGGTCTAATATTTCCCAATTTTGAATATTTTTGGTTTTTTCTTCTGGAAGTTGGGTTGAAAAAATAAAATCTTTTTCTAAATTTTTTTCTGGAACAATAATATTTTCACCAAAATTGATTTCTTGTGATATTTCATTTTCATCGTCACTAGAATAATAGACTGGTTCTTCAGGTAATTCGATTTCCATTTGAATAAAAACGATTTAAAATAAAAGAAAAAATATCCCAAAATCAATTATTTCATGTAAAAAAATCAAATAAAAAAGCACGTTTGGTCAAAATAAATAAAAATATTCAGTCTAAACGTTGTCCACTCTTCAATGTTGTCCAAACATTTTTGGACCATCAAAACTGGAATATTTCGGGAAACTGTTCGAAACATTTCAAAAACACCGTTTCATAATTTTTACCGGGATTTCAACGTTTTTTCCTAATTTTCAATTTTTTCAACTTATTTTGTGAAAAAATTTGTTAAATGGACAACGTTTTCAGACGGAATTTATAACTTTTTATCTTAGTCAGCAAATGAATTCTTTTGGTAAAAAAAGAAAAATAAATACCCGTTGGATAGATTAGGATACGAAGGTGTTAAGTTAAATAATTTTTTAATTTATAAAAAAAAACAAATCTTAGAAATATAATAAATTTTTATTATAATTGATAATGATTGTTATGATAAAAAACACATTCTGTAACTTCTTTGTATAATGTTACAGTATGATATAACTCAGTGATACATTTTAGTACTGTTGATGTACATTCGTTTGCATATTACAATTTTTGTTTTCATTTACAACTTAATAAAAAAGATATGTGTCAAAAAAGACATATCTTGACTTTTTTATTGTTTTTGAATTTATTTAAAAAATGGTGATATTATACACACAACCGAACTTTAATATAGCATCTCCACGAAAACTTAATTGATTTTGATTCGTGAGTATTATTGATATATAAAAAAATTTTGATCAAAAAATAAACATTTGTACAAAAAATGCAAATCAATGATGTTTTTACTATACATTACTATATTATAGAATTTGTCTTGTGAAAATATTGACTATTTTTAGAAATTGGGTTTTGAAAAACTATTACAAGTTAAAAAATATAGTTTAAATTATTAAACTATATATATAGTTTATATAATAGTATATTTGTTTTTTGAATAAACACAAATTTGAAACATTGTTATAATACACTGAAAGTACGTAAAAAAATCCGGGCCATTTTTTGTTCTTAGATAGTTCATTTTGAATCAAACTCGAATCATTTTTTTGATTTTTAAATAAAAAACACCAAAAAGAAAGAAAAAGAAACAACAATAACCCGTTATTTTTATTTTTTACATGTTCTGAGAGTAAAAAACACAATAATTTGGGCAAAAGAAGAAAGAGGAAAATGGGTGCAGGTTTTTCTTCAGGTGTGGGTTTTTCGCCTCACTTTAATAATTTTGTGTTTTGAATTGTATTTATATTATAACTTATAACTTATTGAAAAACGATCCAAACCAAAGCCACATTAAGAACAAATCAATTACACCATTGAAATGTTCTTAACTTTTGAATTGATTATATATTTTAAAAATAAAAAATGGGTTTAATTTATTATTAAATAGTAAACATTAATAAATTATAACTCAATGAACAATATTTGATAATTATTAAACTTTAAAATAAAAAAACAAAAAAACACAACAATAACCAAAAACAAACAAAAATAAAACACATTTTAATAAAAAAGTAAATTTTATAGTATAAAACACAATTAGTAGTCAATTACATTATATTAATGTTGTCTGAATTGAATACAACATGCCAAATAAATTATAATTTCAGATAACCTTACCAACGTTAAATCTTTAATTATTTCATTTTTGTTTTTCAAGTATTTTAAAGCTACAATGACTTGAAGCCATCAAATACCACACTTTTAATTGATATCAAGAAGTCAGTTTCTTCATTTATTTGAACAATTTTTATATTCAGTGTTGTTGAAAATGGAAATTATTTTTATTTGTTGTGTTCTGAGTCTTTGTTTGCTTTTTGATTGATTTTTTATCATGTTTATTATTTTATTTTGAATAAATTTATTAATATTAATAATAAATGAGCAATGATATTTTATCTGTTATTTTTGTATTTTCTCTCAATTATTGCGACTATTTTATATATTTTTGTAAATCAAGTGATCAGCACAAAATAATGTTTTATCATGTTTTATGTTAATAATTATGTTATTTTTATTATTTATTCTTCGTAAAAAAACCAATTATTAAGTTGTAGTCAGTCGGTGCTATATATTCAAGTGTTTTTATGTGTCTTGGAATTACCAATTATGTTTTGTATTTATTAACACGATAAGTTTCGGAATAATCCCGTTTATATAGCCAAAATAATTAAAATTTGATTAAAAACACTTTCAGATTCTTATAAAAAGATGTGTTTTTTTAAATGGCACATGTTGTTAATTGTTTTTGTTGTGGGTTATGTTTAAACTAAAAAATTTATTCTCATTATATTACCACTTATAACGTGGGTTTAAAGCTTAAGTATCATTATAATACAAATATATGGATTGGAGTTATGATATGTCATTTTATTGTGTTTAAAAAATGTGTTTGAGAAAAAATATGTTTCATCATTTATGTTGTTTTTCTAATAAATTATTAGCCCATTATTACTATTGAAATGATGTTTAATTTAAGAATACGTTTGATGTTTTGTTGTTTTGTGATTTTTCTTGAATAGATTTATGAAAAAGAAAATTCAAAAAGATGGTTCTACAAGTTTATAACGTGTTTTATTGGTCAAAACAAAGATTCAATTGCTTAAAAAATTTCATTTATAAAATAATGAGTTTTTTTTGAAACAAATTTTATGTTTTTTGTTTTTTAAATTGTTATATGGGCTGGTGCAAGTATGTTGCAGGTTTTTAAATATTAAAATATTTACAATTTTTATTTATTTTTTATTAGAAAGTGTTTAGGAGATAGATGAGCCAACAGTGCCGAATATTCTCTTTATTTAATGATATTCTTTAATTAACTTGACCAAAAAACAAATAAAATATATCAACACATAATAAAAAACATTTATTTGTTGAATTTTATTGTAATATCACTCGAAAAAATAATATAATTAAGTTTGAATTCAAATAAAATCAATAAAAGTTCAAATTCATGGAATAAGGAATTTGTTTATATTAATAAGTGTTAATTAGATTTTGTTTTGATTTATAATTTTTAATGTTTTATATATATATCAATTAGTTTTATTATATTTAACAATAATATTTTTATTATAAAAAAATAATATTGCTAAATAAAAAATGAAAAATAAATTTTTCATATGCCAGTCAAAAAAATACAATTTACCAAAAATATCAACAAAAGTAAACTCTAATATTGTACCAATAAATGAAAATATTGGTTTATAACACAAAAAAATTTTAAAAATAAAGAGAGTTTTTTAATGTTATCTGGTAAACAAAAATATATTTAATATTTATGTAAACATCAAGTAGGTAAATTGTAAGGAAATTTTGAAACAATGAAGATGGATTTTTAAAAAGGCAACCCGAAATATTTGATTTCTTATTGTCCAAAAATACCAAATAACGTTGAAATACATGCCATATTTTTTTGTTCAAAACATACATTTTTGGTTTATTGTTAATTTACAAAAAAATACCAACACGGTAAAAAAGACCAACATAAATTATATTTCAAAAGTCGTAAGCACCTAATTTGCATTGGTAGATTTTTGAAAAACAATGGAAAACATCATAATCTATTTATATTTCAATTTCCATATTTAAAAATTGTTAATTAATATAATCATTGTTAATAATTGTCAATTATTTTTTTCTTGATATGATAAAATTATATAAAAATAATTTAAGATTTATAAAAACTATTGTAATAGTTTACAAATTAATTTATACAACCATCTGTAATATTTTGCAAATAGAAAATAAGAATTAGTCAAAGTTCCAGATTGTAAAACAAATTTTTAATTAATAATCGTTTGTTGTTATTATTGTTATAAAATACTTTTAAAATAACTCAAAAAACATTATGTCCAATACCTTTTCAATTCTCTGTCTTTCCTTGTGTTTAACCACAACTTTTGCCTACAACTGGGAACCAAATAACCCCGTACCCAGTTCCGAATATTCCCTTTACGAATGTACTAATCATTCAATATATTTCACAACACCAACAAACGAGACGACTGCTAACTGCACACAAATTCCCAATGGTGTGTATAACAAAACTAACTGCGTGACGGATCTGAATATTTATTATGTTGGTGTTGCAAACATGGATTTCTCATACACCGTATTTACAAATTACACAGTGTCTTATTCAGTTGTTGCATTTACCAAACATGAATATGATTCCGTTGACCAGTTTTATTCATACCAATCGACTTACACCAATTGCATTTTTAAAAGATTCAAATCGAATTCCACAGACTTGTATAAGACTGTTTTTAATGACACAAAGTTGTTCGAATTGAAACCTTTGCAATTGTACATTCAGTGGTGCACAATAAGAAACTCGACACTAATTAACATCGATTTGGTCAACAACACACAAAAACTTGTGAATACTACAAAACCCATAAATATATATGATTTGTATACACACACTGTTAATCATTTGAATTTGGATCACAATAACATCTCATTCAGTGACTTTAAGAGTATTACTGGTTATGGTTATATATCAAATAACACAAGTTACTACAATGTTAATATTGAGGATATTAACTTTATGTACTTTTCGTTTGATAACGATCATTTCACAGGTGTGACTGTGCGTTCAGCAATAATAATGTATGGCTCTTTCAACTTGACTAATTTTGGTAAAATCACGTTTGAGAACACGACTTTTAAAGATAGTAACTTTGTGTTAAAAAGAAGTGGCGTGATTATATTTAAGAAGTGCAATTTTAAAAAGACTAAAATCAATGGAATAGCGATGAGAAACACTTCGATTGATTGCATTTTTGAAAATGGAGAGACTAATTGCACAGTACCTATAAAACCAGTGCAAGAAAGCAGTGATACTTCGAATAGTGAAACTGGGAAAGTCGTTGTGGACGATTTGGAAACTTACAGTAACAATGTTGAAATGTACGCCATAATTACTGGGGTTATACTTTACACACTGTTTTGTTTTGTCGCAATTATCATTGCTATTGTTGTGATCGCACAAAAATTAAGAAGGGAACCATGAAATTAACAATTAAACACAATTTGGTGTCTTTTGTTTTGTGCTTTTTTATCATTTTAAATAAAAGTTGAATTATAAACAAACAAATAAACTCCATTGACAAAAATGGAAAACGAGTTAACAGCACTTTCAACAGTCTGTACTAAAGCAGATCAGATAAAAAAAATTGAACAATTTAAGAACAAAGCAGTCGATCAAATAAAGAAATCGGTAAAATACATTAATTCAAAAAGACAACATGATGAACAACAAAGAATAAAGCGCAAACACATCACACTTGGGGGAAAAAGCCGGTCTTAAGAAGTTGACAGGAATGATAATTGGGATTGTTGTGTTCGACTCATACATAGAGACTAATCACAATGCACATCAGTGTTTGATAAAAAAAGTTATCAACGAAAGCAACTTGTGCTTTTTAGTAGAAAACAAAAATCACAACAAGTTTGGTGGCGTGTACATTGGAAATATTAATGCTTTGTACCAATTTACCAACAGTGGCAATTTTTACACATTTTCACTTGTAGGAAGTGGCACTTTGAATCCAAAAAAAGTTTGATAAAAGTGGAAATTACACCAATTGTGTATTTTATCTTTATTCTCAAAACTCTCCAAAACTATTTTAATTTAATTATTATGATGATACAGCTGTGTACAAGAAAAGTCAAAATAATAATTATTGCGATTTATACACATACACGGCCAATGAAAACGAGTTGACTGACAATGACATATTCACACCAAAGAGTGTTGTTGTCTTCTAACTCAATTAAAGTTTATGTCACTTATTATTGTGTTTTCATTTCAAACTTTGCAACACTTTGACCCCAAAAGTATCATTTTTATAATTTGCCTATTTATAAATTGAATTAATGTATATCAAATTTTCATAATAATCATCCTTTTGAAGGGTCTGATAGAAGGAGAAAAAATAATGAGGTTTAGCCATTCAAATTTAACATTAAAACAAACACTAGATTATGACATCTTTAATGTTTCTGGCTATTTTAGGCCTTTTCTCTTTGTGTTTAGTATATTTTTAGATAATAGATTTATGACTCCACAACTTGCCAGGTTTAACAAGTTTCGATAGTTGAGGCAGATCTACTTTTTGTGTGTCGTTATATCTTTCTGAATAATAATATACGTAAGGATATAATTTTTTCGATTGTTATGGGTTTTAGACTATAAATTATAGTAATTAAATATTAAAACAATATTAAATAATTGAACAAAGAAACAAATAAGACAATTAAAATGTGATAAATAAACGTAATAGTTTATAATCATGATAACAGTTCATATTTTAATGTAAAACAAATATCATTGTTAATAAACTGTTTTTCAAAACTCTGTACTGGGATGCCCCGATTTTTTAGACA